GAATCGTTCATACAACTTGTTTATGCTATTGATGAAGAGTGATGCGTGCTAGACTGCCGATGCTTTTGTGGAGAATATGGCATGTGAGAAACAAAGTAGTCCATGCAAAGCCTGCGCCATCTGTGAAGGCCTCCTCGGGGTTCTTAGTCATCTACCTGGCTTCTCTATACTCTATCACAGTTGATCCACATGCCGACCAGATTAAAGGGAAAACAGTTGTTTCTCCCTGCTTTCCACATGTGCAGCCCACATGGAATATGGGTGCAAGGTGCAGCCCTTGGAGTAAGCTCATGGTTGCCTCCTTCCCTAGGGTGTGTAAAGCTCAACACCGATGGGTCCCTGCTTGATGGGTCAGAGGGCACCAGAATGGTCCTTAGGGGTCATGATGGTTCCATCATTTTTAGCTCCTTGAGGCACTTGACGTCTTGTGATGATATTCTTGAGGTGTAATCTCATGCAATCAGGGAAGGGCGCATGTTGGCTTTGCAATGGAGCGATCTTCTAGTGATTGTGGAATCGGATAGCTTAGAAGCAGTGATAATGATCAAGAGCTCATAGACAAACAGATCGAAGTGTGCCTTCGTGGTTTCAGAGATCAAGGAGAGTTTGAGGTAAAGAAATTCTTGCATTACTCATATTCGTTGTAGTGGCGATGAGGCTAGTCATTTCATGGTAAACTATGGTAGGTTGCAAGGCTGTAAAGCCGTATGGCTTGGCTATGGTCCAAAGGGAGTGATGGATATTGCCAGCCGGGATTTGTAATCTTTATACCTTGAGTAATACAGGAATTTATTCACAAAAAAATGCTCAAGCTTACTTAATAAGGACATACCACAACTAAATACATGGTATATACTACTCTTGTTGTTATCTCCTACAGAGCCCTGATAATAAACCGATATACATTTCATCAGAGATAAACAGTTGATGATGGTTCTAGTCTAGAGGTTTATTTCTTAGTAACGAGAACAAATGGTACTAAGTTAGTTTCAATGCTCTAGAGTGACAACAGATGCACATTTTTGTGGTGCACAACTAATAAGTACCCTTTTTCCTTGTCTAATTTCAAGGTTTGTAAAAG